TCATGCTTTTTGGATAACCTGAAGACATCCTCGTTTAAATATAGAGTTGGGAGTTGTAGTCATCAGCTCAGGCTGCCCCAGTAGAACGCTGCAGACTGGGCAGCTTAAACAGCAGACATTTCTTTCTCCAGGTTCTGGAGGCTGGGAGTCTGAGATTACGGTGTGGGCAGATTAGTCCCTGGCGAGGCTGTCTTCCTGGCTTACAGATGCTGCCTTCTTGCCGTGTCCTCACGTGGTGGAGAGGGAGCTCTGGGGCATCTTCCTCTCTTTTAAGGACACTAATCCCATCCTGGGGGCCCCACCCTCGTGACCTCGTCTAACCCTAATCCCCTCGCAAAGGCTCCATCTCCTAATAGCACCCTGTCGGGGATCAGAGCTTCAGTGTATGAACTCGGGGGTCACGCACATTCTGTCCATAGCAGGACGTATGCATTCACTGGACACCTGTTTAAGAAGCATCTCCCACCCGCCACGGACGTTGCTGGTCTCAGGTCCACATGGCAGAACCTGAGCATCGGGGGCCAGACACCCACACAAACACCTGGCATCTGGGTGAGGAAGCTGAGGCTAACGGAGAGTGGGTGGCTTCAGCAAGGTCTCCTGGGTCGTGAGAGGTGATGCAGAAATTGAACCCTGCTCCTGGGACCCGCAATTCTTTGGTGCCACTCCCTCCTCCAGAGGATGTAGCTAAATGTCCCAAAGTTAAAGTTGGTCGTGGGAGGGAGTGTGTGTTGTGCATGTGACCGAGTGTATGTGTGTGCCTGCTTATACACACGTGTGCATCTCAGCGTCTCCCAGACTTCCTTCCTTTCACTCAGGCATGATGTGTCATCACCCTGATGGGTGAGGGTTAGGACAGTGACATCGGATGTCGGGAAGAAGAAATGCATAAAACCGTCCATTTCGTGAGCTGTCAAAACATTTAGGAATTAAAAAGTACAAATGAAATCTCATTTCTTCTATCTTTATCATCTGTCCAGGGCTTGGAAATGTTCTGCAAATGCTCGGGGGTGGCTGTTTTTAGCCCAGCATCTATCATGTGTTTAAGTGGGATAAGTGGATGAGATTAATTCTCCGTGAGATGCATGAGCACGAAGAACAGCTCTTTTTTTTTTTCCTGTCCTTTTCTGTGTCAGAGAACTACCTGGCTGGGCAGGGCCACCCTGGGTGAGTGTGTGTACATGCATGTAAGTGTATTTGTGTGCATGGGTGTATATGTGTGTGCATGTGAATGCATGTGTGTGTGAGTGTGTGCATGAGGGTATGTGTGTGTGCCTATGAATGTGTGTGCATGGCAGTATATGTGTGTGCATGTGATGTGTGCATGTGACTGTGTGTGTGTGCAAGTGAATGTGTGTGTGTATGGGTGTAAATGTGTGAGTGCGTGTGACTGTGTGTGCACGGGGGTATATGTCTGTGCTTTGAAGTCCCTTTCCTTCAGAAACAGGATGATCAACAGATTTCCATTGCAATCCCGTCTCCTGACAGTAGCTGAATTTTGGGCACAGTGCTGTGTCCTTTGGGCATCCCAAGCTCATGTCCAGCACACCACAGGCAGTATCTTCTAAAACCGCCATCCTTGTATTTTAGTTGGACATGCTGATCACAAGCGCTGTTACCCAGACAAGAGGACTTTCAACCTGTGGGGGAAATGGACCCCCAGATAAGGCCCGCTGGAGGACCCAAAAGAAGCAGCGTCTGAAGAGAGGGCTGGACACATCCTAGGGAAATCCCAGGAGCGGGAGAGCCTGCGGCTGCAACAAAGCAGGTCTTTCTGATGGAGGTGACTCACTCTGGGGGTGAAACACGGCAGGGGGTTTCTGGGCATGGACCCCTGAATCCTCGGCCTGGAGAACGGTTGACTTACGAAACAAGCTCGTCCCAGGAGCCGACTGAAGGATCTGTTTGCCAAGGAGGTGTAAATCCATCCTAACAAGAACGTCTCAGACACCACTAAAGGGAAAACCAGTTCCTCTGTCTTGTAATAACGTATAATGGAAAATCATCTGGAAAATGTATGTGTGGGACCCTCCCAGCTCTCACCCTGCGGCCCACGCTCTTCATGTGGCTGTGCCTGATCTGGATTTTATCACAAAAGTGGAATCACAAGGAGATGCCGTCTTGGATTCTGTGAGTTGTTCTTGGAAATCCTCAACCCTGCGGGGGTCCTGGGTACCCCAGTACCTATAGTCAGTGGGTCCGGAGTGCAGGAGGACCCCAGAGACGTGTGGTGAGCGCAGTTAAGGAGAACCGAGGCCGTAAACATGCAGAGACTTTGCCACCTCTGGGTGGACAGCACCAGAATCGAATCACAGGACGCCCAGTTGAGGTGGAAACAGAACACGGGTCACAGCCACTGCCCCAGGAAGACAGGTAAATCCAACATCCATTCCCAGAAAACAGACTCAGGGCACGTGCGACGTGCAGGCAGTGTCTCCTATTTAAAATGAGTAAATCCTTTTTTTTTGGAGGATTTTTTCTTTAATACATCTGAAAAGAATGGCATATGCAGAAAAACAGATGCGAGGAAGCATCGGATCAACACTGACGAATTGACAAGGATGAGACTTGGGGCTGGTGGAATAGGTGACCTAAGCGTTTCTAAAAGTTGGAAACTGCAACTAAAATAAGATGAAAAAACCCCTATCAACACTTGGGGAAAAAACCCCAAAACACTTAGGAGTCTTCAGAAGACTGCGTGTCAAATCAATACGCTTTATACTTTATAACTGACATATAACATTGTATAACTTTATCTCCATAAAAAAGTAGTAGAATCCTGTCTAAAGGAGCTCGTTGCTACGGTGAAATGAATGTTTTTTCCCGAAGAGGCATGACCCCTGACCCCTCCTGACCCCATGGCCACCCCTTCCCACCCCGTCCTGGCACATGAGGACACAGGCTTTCCAATAACGCGTGCTCCCCTCTGCGGACTTTCTTGCAAACCTTCAGGCTCCTCCTGGGAGACGCCCCTATGTTTCAGATTGTCTTCGTCAACTCATGTCTTGACCGTAGGGTCCCAGGATCTTGCTTCCTTGAGTATGGGACCTGGTAACATCAAAGGAACAGTTAACCTGGCTGCCCTCAGCAGTGTCCCATCTTTGCCATGTCCAGTGTTTTTGGCAGGTGGGTACGCAGCCCTCTTGGGAGATCACACGGGGAGGTGTTGGTCTTCCAGACAATACGTTCAAAGTCACAGCTTCTCTGCCTGTCAGATGGCTCCGTGGAGTAAAGGAAGCTTTGCCCTGCACTTCTCTTTTTAACCTTCTCCAGCCCGATTATAAGTGCCGGGGGATATTTGTCATCACGACTTCCGAGATAGCCCTTTTGAGCACGTCTGAATCCAGAAAAATGTGACCGTGGGGTTGTTTCCTGGCCTGGGTGTGTACCTGAGGGTCCTACGATGGTACACTCTTAGAGGCACACGAGAAGGACCAGGGCTAGGCGTGTTGAGCGGATTTCCAAAAGTGTGTTACATGCGATGAGCTCCTGAAAAGTCATTGTCATGACAGTAAGATGAGGGAGTTCTGTAGGTTTCTGGATATTGAATCGTAGCCCCAAAGCCCCTCACTTACCACAAGGTCTAATCCCTTGAACTTCTCTGCCTGGTTCTTTTAATCTACCGGTTCTTTTTTTTTTTTTTTGCAGTTTTAAAAAAATTATAGTTGATTTACAATGTTTTAGGTGTACAGAAAAGTGATTCAGCTTTATATATATACGTATATTCTTTTTCTGATTCTTTTCCATTACAGGTTCTTACAAGATTTTGAATATAGTTCCCTGTGCTGTACAGTAGGACCTTTACATATAATAGTGTGTGTCTGTTAGTCCCAAACTCCTAATTTATCCCTGCCCCCGTTTCCCCTTTGGTATCTGTAGCTCTGTTTTCTGTTTGTGAATCTGTTTGTGTTTCATAAATAAGTTCATTTGTGTTACTTTTTAGACTCTGCATGTAAGTGATGTCATTATGGTATTTGTCTTTGTCTTACTTCACTTAGTACGATAATCTCTAGGTCCATCCATGTTGCTGCAAATGGCATTATGTCATTCTTTTCCATGGCTGAGTAATACTCTGTAGCACACGCGCACACGCACGCGCACACACACACACACACAGAGTTATATATATACACTCCACCACCCCACGTCTTCTTCTAATCCACTGACCGTGCCCAGGGACCAGCTCCCAACCCAAAACAAAGGGTGTCTGGCGTTCAAACCTTCCTCCTTCCCTCCTACTGCCCGAGGTCCACTTTTCTCAATCTCTTCTCAGCCTTTCAGGCTTTTTCTTGAACTTCCAGTTCTCCTGCTGTGACTCTCCTCACTGCATGGAAACCAAGAACCTTTCTGCTGTCTCGACGTTTCCACCTCAAATTGCTAAATGTCGTGCGTTCAACACAGAGGCGGGACAGCCATCTGCTTTGAGCCAGCGAGTAAGCATTTCAGCTTCATCAGGCGTTGGCCATACAGCAGAAATGAACACCACGTTGTGAGCAACTCTACTTCAATAAAAATAAACTTTTTAAAAGAGAGTTGGAGACCTGAGTATTTACACTGGGGTCTTCATATGCATCTATCGCAATGGATTAACCCAATGTGGAAGTACAACCCACTTGGGTGCACCTTCCTGCACCCATGGAGGCTGGGCTGCCCCACCCTGTCCGGCCCGGCTTTGTGCCTGAGTCCATGGAAGAAGGTCGGAGGTGCTGTGTCTCACCCACAGTGTCTGTGAGCGTGGAGACCCCCGTGTCTCTGCTCTGAAAATTGACTTCTGTTCTTCTTTCCTTCTCCCTGCAGACCCCGGATGAGGGAGCCTGGACCTCCGTCTACGCGGCGGTCACCCCAGCGCTGGAAGGCCGTGGCGGCTGCTATCTTTACAACGAGAAAGAGACCAAGTCTCTGGCGGTCACGTACGACCTGAAGCTTCAGCGACAGCTGTGGGCCAGAAGTTGCCAGATGACGGGCATCACCGATGTGACCCAGGAGGTCCTCTAGGGTTAGCCACCCGCCGGGGAGACCATGTTCTGCCAGGCGTGCACAGGTGTGTCTGCTGGACCACGTGTCTGCGTCGTTCACATCCCCCGCCCTTGGGGCTCTGTCTCCCCAGCGTCTCCCATCGGCTTCCTTGCCCTGGGCCGGAACTTGAGGAGAAGAGGAATGCTGAGTGCGACCCCAAACAGCTGGCCCTCAGCCATGAATCTCGTGATCCCCACCGTGTCCAGTTGTACCGGGTGCCCTGAGTCATTAAACCCTGCCAGCCACGCAGGAGGTGTTCTTGCTTAGCACAGAGGCGCCGAGGACCCTGGGGTAGAAACATCCGGGTGAAACAAACAGTTTCAAGGAGGCCTGGAACTGTTGGGCGCTGGTGGCTTTGAGGGTGTCCTGTGTCCCCTGTTCTCTCACTCACAATTTGTGCCAGAGGTGCGGCTCTGATTTGTGGGTCCTGGAAAGGGAGAGACGTGAGCCTTCCTTAGTCTGTTGATCAAGGGTCATGTGACCACCCTACCCGTCTGCCCCACCATCTTTAGGGGGACCAGGTCCTAGGGGCTTCCTGCCGCTGTTAGGGCATCTATCAGGGCTCTCACCCCGTGACTCATGGCAAGACCCTCAACAGAGGGGTAGGGAATTCTGTAGGACACGGGGTAAGAAAGGGGGCCTGGACACCTGTCACCGTGGGGTCTGTGGGACAGGGTTGGGGCCTGGACCCTGTCACCATGGGGTCTGTAGGACGGGGCCTGGACACCTGTCACCATGGAGTCTGTGGGATGGGGCCTGGACACCTGTCACCATGGGGTCTGCGGGACGGGGCCTGGACACCTGTCACCATGGGGTCTGTGGCACAGGGATGGGACCTGGACACCTGTCACCATGGGGTCTGTGGGACGGGGCCTGGACATCTGTCACCATGGGCATCTGTAGGATGGAGCCTGGACACCTGCACCATGGGGTCTGTAGGATGGAGCCTGGACACCTGTCACCATGGGGGTCTGTGGGACAGGGCGTGGACACCTGTCACCATGGGCATCTGTGGGATGGAGCCTGGACACCTGTCACCGTGGGGTCTGTAGGATGGAGCCGGGATACCTCTGACCATGGGGTCTGTAGGACGGGGCCTGGACTCCTGTCACCATGGGGTCTGTAGGATGGAGCCTGGATACCTGTCACCATGGGGTCTGTAGGATGGGGCCCGGACACCTGTCACCATGGGGTCTGTAGGACGTGGCCTGGACACCCGTCACCATGGGGTCTGTGGGATGGGGCCTGGACACCTGTCACCGTGGGGTCTGTAGGATGGAGCCTGGACACCTGTCACCATGGGGTCTGTAGGATGGGGCCTGGACACCTGTCACCATGAGGTCTGGCACAGGGACGGGGCCTGGACACCTGTCACCGTGGGGTCTGTGGGACAGGGACGGGCACGGGGCCTGGACTAAACCAATCATGGGATTCAGCTGCACAGCGTTTGCCGGTCTGCACATTCCCCCACCATTTTTTAGGGCCTTAGTCTAAGAATGGCAGCTTTGCTGCCCACTTGCCCTTCAGTGGTCACATGAAGCCTCTCTTCTGGTATCTGCTTCTTCATTTCATCGTCTGTTAACACAGGCACGTTCCTCTCCTGGAGATGTGTGCAGGGCTTGGATTCTACTTCAGACCACGATACTAATGTAATAACAACAATCATGTCGAATGCCCCGTGCTTCCCTGGATTTGGGTGCCCGTCGCAGTCTGTCAGGCTCTTCCTGAACTAGTTTCCCCGTGGACCTTCCAGGGTCTGCAGACACCTCCTCTTTCAGCAGCGTGACGGCCGCCCTCTACACCTTGGAAACAGGTCAGTGGTGGGACCATCCTGGTTTCATCCAGTTCCCTCTGTAGTGGCTTGAATGGTGGCTTCTCAAGATACATGTCCACATCCTAAGCCCTGAAACCTGCAGCTGTGTTCCCGTTGGGACAAGGCTCATTGCAGACGTCATGAAGGCCCTAAGATGAGGACACCATCCTGGCTTATCCAGGTAGGGCGAGTGTGCTCACAAGGTTGCTTATTGGAAACAGGGAGAGGGAGATCTGATTACAGAAGAGGGAGGGGGTCATGTGACCACAGAGGCAGAGACGGGAGGGATGCGGCCACAAGTCCAGGGACGCCTGGAGCCCCCAGAAGCTGGAGGAGGCAGGAAGGACCCTCCCCTGGAGCCTCTTCGGGGAGCTCAGCCCTGCATCTTCAGAACTGAGAGAGAATAGATTTCAGTTGCTTGAAGATACCAACACCTTGATGGTAGTTAGTTACAAGAAGCTCATACAGTTGTTGACACATGTGAACATCTCTAGCAGCTTAGTGGACCTTTGCCTGGGCATCGGGGCCCGCCCTGCTTCACCCAGCAGTCAGGCAAGGAAGGCTCAATCCTCTCTCTGAGAATGGCTCTTGGGTTCTCAAATTCCAACATGGAGAGATCAGACATTTAGAATGCTAGCGAAAGGACTCTGTGTGTTTCCTGCAAGACTGCACCCTGAATTTCAAGACCAGGGACCACTGGTCAGCTAACCATGCATTCCCTCAATTGACAAAATCCCGCTGAGGCCCCAAACCTGATGTCAGCCCCCAGCACATTCATGCGTTGGAAAAACAACCAGCAGCTCTTCCAGAGTGGGGTTCACACTACACTAGATAGATAGATAGATAGATAGATAGATAGATAGATAAGTAGATAGATAGATAGGTAGATAGATAGGTAGATACGTAGATAGATAGGTAGATAGGTAGATAGATGATAGGTAGGTAGGTAGATAGGTAGGTAGGTAGATAGGTAGATAGGTAGATAGATAGATAGGTAGGTAGATAGATAGGTAGATACGTAGATAGATAGGTAGGTAGGTAGATGATAGGTAGGTAGGTAGATAGGTAGATAGATAGGTAGATAGGTAGGTAGATAGGTAGATAGATAGGTAGATAGTGGGGTTCACACTACACTAGATAGATAGATAGATAGAAAGAAAGAAAGAAAGAAAAAGGGTTTACGGGTCAGCAAACTTTTTATATATAGGACCAGTTAATAAAGATCTTCATATTTTAGAGCTTTATGATCTATTACAACTGCTCAACTCTTCCATGTGACGCACAAGCACCTACACACGCTACGCTAACGTGTGGCTGTGTTCTAATAAACCTTTATTTACAAAAAAGGGGGGAGGTCAGGTTTATCCGAGGCCCATACTTTGTTGACCTGGGGTTTTGACCCCTGTGTGCCACGTGGAGAATTGTAAGTCCTGTCGTATGGGTGGGCATTTAGCCTCAGAAAGACTCGGTGTCTCACCCGGCTTCAAGTTCCTGCTGGCCCTTAGGTGGGAACCTCAGGGGTGTCTAACCCCAGAGAGCATGTTTTCCTTACAGATGAACAAGACGTTATGAGTTCTGTGTCGTGCAACCAGGAGACGGTGGTGTAAAAGGACAGGAGACCAGGACGTGTACGTTTGAGGTCCTCACCTCCTCGCCTGCATCCTGCTGTGGTTGGCAGAGCTGAGACCGCAGCGTCTGGGACTGTTCATGTGGTGGCCTGAGAGGAACAAACCAGGGCCCCTTCTGCAGGTGCGCAGACTCTGCAGGACGTCCGCTCGGATAAGAAACATCCTGACACCCTTCCCGGGAGAACCATAGGGTGACAAGGAGGCTCCCGGGGACCATGGACCAGCACGAGGAAGAGAGCTGCCAGAGGGTCAGACATTCCTGACCCCCTTCATCGCAGTTGCAGGAGAGGTGATGATTATGGCGTGAAGCCACAAGACGATTTGTGGGTCCTGGTGGCCTGTGGCTCAGATCACTGTGTGAAGATGGGGGCACGTGGTCCCAGTGGAAGACCCTGCTTATTCAAACAGCTCACTATTATGTCGTGTATAAGAGTGTCCTGGGCGGCTGTAACACAGGACCACAAACTGGGAGTCTGAAAAGAACAGAAATTCATCCAGCCCCAGGTCCTGGAGACCAGATGTCTGAGGTCAAGGTGTCCCAGAGCTGTGCTCCCTTCAGAGGCTCCAGGGGAGGATCCTTCCCACCTCTTCCAGCTTCTGGGGGCTCCAGGTATCCCTGGGCTTGTGGCCGCATCCCTCCCATCGCTGCCTGTGTCTTCATGTGGCTTCTCCTCTGTGCCTGTGTCTCTCCTATTCTGTGTCTTATAAGGACACTGTCATTGGATGTAGGGCCACCCTCATCCAGGCGGACCTCATCTCAGACCCTTCACTTCCATCCGGATAATCAAGAATGATCTCTTCATCTCAAGATCCTTCATTAGTTACATCTGTCAAGAGCCTTTTGCCGACAAAGTCATATCCACAGGTAACAGGGTTTAGGACGTGGTCATATCTTTTTGGTAGAAAATATTCAATCCACTGCATGGTACATGAACTGGATACTTGGAAACTCAGGAAACATCCATTCCTTTTCTGGTGAACTGGAAAGCCGCGGAGGTCACGGCTTCTTCTATATGTACCCAAGGCCGCTTTCCTGGGTGAGTGACCCATGTCACCCATGGGACCCTGGGCTCATAAGGACGCCTATTGGCTTAATGCCCTATGACCGCCATCTTGAAATTCTTAACGAAGCGTGAACAAGGACCCACATTTTCATTTTGCCCTGGAACTGCAAATGCGATAGCCCTCTTTGCTCACATTCCTTCCAACCTCAAGAAAGAGGAGCAAGTCTGCACCCAATAAGGACACCCCCACCCCCAGCACACCCTCCATCCAGCCACTGATGTGTTCAAACCTACCTTTCGTGGGTGGTGAAGACCTCTCCCCAAGATCCAGTAAGGCTGGTGGGTTTTGGCTGCACGCTGGGGGAGCCTCTGAAAACCACTAATGCTCAGCTCCACCATCAACAGAATCCCCAAGTTCGTTCCTCTGGGCAACGGCATTTCTTAGACCTCCTCAAGCCATCCTCTTGTTCAGCCAAGTTTGAGGCCCTCTGGGCCGGGCAAACGCAGACTGAAGCTTCCAGCCCTGAGTGCCAGCCCCTCCCAGAACTGCTCAGATGTTCTTCTAAGCCCTACAGCCCCGACTGATGTGTTTCAGAACTAGAATTACTTTGTATGTTCAAACCAAGATGGAGACAAGCCTTGTCTAATATTCCCGGACAGCCAGGATGATGTACTGCAAAGCAGGATCTTGACTTCCAGGAGGATCCCGACCTTGGAGCGTTTGCACATCACTAGAGAGCCCTTTGCGGCTTGAGGTCATGGCACACAAGCGCCAGCTACTCTTAGCGGCGTCACAAAGTCGGCTCCCAAGCACAGACTCGGGATGGGTCCTGGCCAGTCCGACACCCTCTGTCACTCTGAGAACAAGCTTGCTGGCCCCTGAGAGATGCTGCAGTCCCTGGGCGAAGATAGGCTCTGAGAGCAATTTGGACTGTGTAGGACCCTGGCCTCACAGGGCCCCTCCTCTTTGCATGACCGGCCTTATGTCGCTCGTCCACCAGGGGAGAGAGAGGACACAGTTCTGGAGAAGTTACCGTGTTCCCTCGACACCCGATTGGGGAACATTCCTCAGAGCTCAGAGACACTTCCCAGCAGCTGGAGAAGTCTCATGGACCACTGGGTGAGTAAGGCCACGTCCATGGCATGGTGGGCACTGGGGATCCTGGGTTTACACCTGTCGCTGTCGTTCGGGGAGCCCGGGAAGGGGGCTGTGTGCATACACACGGGGATGGATGACCTTCCATCCCTGGGCAAGTCTTGATTCAGTAATTGGACCCATGGTGCATGTATTTCTCAGTTCCCTCCACGTAGCATCAATGAGTTTTGTTCGACAGTGGGAACGACCACCTCATCCATCCATCCATCCGGCAGTGATGTGTTGAGTAGGGTTACCCAGCCAAGCTCTGGGCAAACACTGGATGGAGCTGAAAGTTGAGTGGCACAGAGCTCTTGTCCTAAAGGAGCTTGCTGTCTAGGGTGGGATTAGGACTCAAAGATATCAGGTCTTAATGCCTAGAAACTGGGGATGGTACCAGACGTGATAAGAGGCACTTTTGACGGGAAAGAGTGGGCTCTGCAAAGGCGGGTCTGTGTCCGATAAGACCCAGTTGAAGCTTCCTCCTTCTCGACTCCCACTGGATTTTGAGGGTGCCTGTATGGAAAATACCTCTCATCTTGGCTATTAGGAAATACAACCGTAGCAGGTGCACCGGGCTCCCTCCAAGGCTGGACAGGTTGGGAAGCTGATTACGAGCTCCTCAGGGGACCCATGGGTCCGGGAGGTAGCACCCTGCCCATTTCCCATGTGGGCTCTTCCTTGGGAAGTGTCAAGTCTCGCATTTGTTAAGCACCCTCGTTAAGCCTTTTGGTCTCTGTGTTTCCGACTCTTCATCCATCAAATAATGCTCCTAACATGTGCCCTGTCTACAACCGGGTTTGCCGAGTGGACAGCAAGACGGTATGCGTTCTGTTTGAAGGATGCTTAGGGGTAAATCCCTGCCAGGCATGGTTCTCCATCCAAGCTCCGTAGTCACTGAATTTGTCGTTTAACCGGAGAAATGAGTTGGAGTTGTATTTTCTGTCGTCTGGGTACCAGTATCCTAGGGGTTTGATCTAAATCCGTAGCTTGTTTACCGACGGCCACAAAAACACAAACACGATCCCAGACATAAGGACATCCTGGGTTTCTGCATGTGTGATGGGGGAGCATCTGTACGTAGTAAAAAGCTTGAGAATTTTTCGGTCTCTGGGGCTCTCTTCAGTGAAGCGTTTTCTGAAGTTCACAGTCTTTTAGCGATCTTTGCGTTTATTGCTAGCTTAGAACTTCTGGTGATACTGCCTACATCTGTTCCTTCCCTTTTTTTCCCTTCATTCTTTGCCTTCATTCTGGGATGTCATGTCGGGCTTCCTGAGTTAATGCCTGTCCCTTATGTTTTACTTTTCATATTTCTGGTCGCAGGGTCCTCATTTTTGTCTGTCCCTTGGGCTGCATCTCATAGATACATAGTTCAGTCCTTATTTTCATGGTTCCTCTTTACCCCATGGGTTACTTGAATGGGTATTTAAAAATCCCCAAGTATATAGAATTAAAAATAATCCTTTTACTGTCATGGGTCCAGGAATGCATTAAAAAGCACGTCTGTTCTAATTCACCCAGAACCTATTGTTCTGTCCTTCAAAGACCCTGCGGGACTTCTGGCCTACCGTGGTACCAGATGTGTAGATACAATAAAACATTTTCATTTAAAATATCCTGGAAAGGAAAAAACAGCATGGGAACTAAGAGGAACACTTTTTTAAGGGAGGAATATTTAGTTTTCTGGCTTTATTGAGGTATCAGTGACAAATAGAAATTGTATCTCTTTAAGGTGGACAACATGTTCTGATTTGCAGCTGCAGTGTGAAATGTCTATTGCCAACTGCATCATTTGGTCAAACGTTTACCCTCCAGGATCCCGGTGTCCCATTCTGTTCAATGGGTCTTTTATGGTTACAAGACTCAAATAAGAGGATGGATCTAAAAGCGTTTTAAGGCTGCAAATACGTTTCCTATATGAGTCATGTCGCCGCTGTGGGTTTGGTGCAAATCACGTGGACCTAATGATCTGGACTCCTTTCCTGATATCCTGGTGCTTCTAAGTAGTGGCTGTTTTCTCCGGGGTGCAGGGAAAGGTGGGGAGGGGCACCCTGAGTGGACCTCACACTAGCATTTGGCAGGAGGAGGCCAGCGTGTTAGATTTCTTACAAGGCACAGGACAGGGTACCCAGTGTCAGATGTTCTCACACCTCACATGACTTCTTCACATCTGGCCAGACGTTCACATAGGGGAAACCCTGTTTATAGTTAACCGCAGCCTAGAACTCACGGCTGTTTACACATCCGTGCAAGAGATTGAATTTCCAGGCAAGCAACCATTGCATTCATAGAGAGAAGATTATCCTTGGCTTGAATGTTCAGCATTTGGGGAAAGCGTAGGGCAGGCGGCAGCTCGTGGCATTTGAGTGACCAGTTCTCTAGGCCTGGGGCAGCCGGCACCATCTTGGGGATCCAACATACGAAGACATCCCCTTACTGCTTCACCCTCTCTGGGGGCGGGGCGGGGGAGGTCCAAGCACTGCTATGTTCAAATGGGTATCACTTTATGGTCACTTGTGTTGTGTGGACACCATGTGGCTCTTATTACATTTGTCTGTAGGTATCTGTGATTTTGTTTTAGGAAAGTAAAGGGACATTAAAAATGGGTGAACCTCCATCCCCAGGGTGGAATATTATTTGGCTATGAAAAAGGAATGAAGTATTGATACATGGTGTATCGTGGGTGAGCCCTGGAAGCATCCTAAGTGAAAGACTCCAGGCACAAAAGGCTACGTCGTATATGATTCCATTTCTACAAAATACCCACAAGTGAAAGACTCCAGGCACAAAAGGCTACATCGTATATGATTCCATTTCTACAAAATACCCACAAGTGAAAGACTCCAGGCACAAAAGGCTACATCGTATATGATTCCATTTCTACAAGGTCTGGGAAGATCCCACATGCCACGGAGCAACTAAGCCCGTGCACCACAACTACTGAGCCTGTGCTCTAGAGCCCGCGAGCCACAACTACTGAGCCCGCGTGCCATAGCTACTGAAGCCCATGCGCCTAGAGCCCGTGCTCCACAACAAGAGAAGCCACTGCAATGAGAAGCCCGTGTACCGCAAAGAAGAGTAGCCCCCGCTCGCCACAACTAGAGGAAGCCCGCATGCAGCGACAAAGACTCAACGCAGCCAAAGATAAATGAATGAATGAATAAATTTATAAAGAAAAAGAAATATTGAGTTCCAAAATTTCTATCACATTATCAGAAGAATCACATTATAACGGCCTCACTGATAACAATGTTCAGTATACTCTGAGCCTGTACTGACTGTGGTGATGGCTTTATGATTCATTGTATGTGGGAACATGGAAATATAATTTCAAAATATAAGAAGACAATGTTAAAGAAAATAAATGTCTATTTCATTTTAAAAAAACAACAAAAAAAGAATAGAAAAAACGTGATTTTACCAATTCCATCCCTGACATCTTCTACTTTCTAATAGATTTTCAGTCTCAATTTTTTTTTTTAGCCAAATGCTTATTTAATCTGCATATATGGATCAAACTGTCTCCTTTGACTGTGTGCTGCTTTTGAAAATGTCCCCATCTACTCTCTAGGCAATTAAATAGTAGCTCATGTATAATTTGTCCTGGTAGCTAATTTGTTATTTTGAAGGGAAAACATCTAATGTTTCTCTCTGAAGAATACTTATACCTATTATCATTTGTATATTATACTTTATCGTATGCTATGTTGTGTATCATTCCTATCTTACTTTTTTTTTTTTTAGAAATTTATATATTTATTTTTGGCTGCGTTGGGTCTTTGTTGCTGCGCGTGGGCTTTCTCTTAGTTGCGGCGAGCGGGGGCTGCTCTTCGTTGTGGTACCGGGCTTCTCATTGCGGTGGTTTCTCTTGTTGCAGAGCTCGGGCTCTAGGCACACGGGCTTCAGTAGTTGTGGCGCACGGGCTCAGTAGTTGTGGCGCATGGGCTTAGTTGCTCCACGGCATGTGGGATCTTCCCGGACCAGGGCTCGAACCCGTGTCCCCTGCATTGGCAGGCAGACTCATAACCACTACGCCACCAGGGAAGTCCTCCTATCTTACTTTTTAAAAAATAAAGTATCAGTTTAATTTTATAAAAACCTGACCTGCGGGGCACAGGGTTAGGCAACTGTGGGTTGGCTGCATGGTTTTGAGAATAAAGTTTTATTGGCACACGTGGCTGCTTTCATGTTACAGAGGCAGAGTTGAGTAGTTCCAACAGAAACCGGAAAGCCCACAGAAGTCACAAGTATTTCTTACCTGGCCGTTTGCAGACAAAGCTGGCTGGCTCTGACCTAGAGAGAGGACTGCATTTTAGTTTCCTTTCCTCCCTGTTGTGGGTAGTGTGGATCAGTACATTTCCTAGAAGCGGTGGTCTTTATTTCTCGAATGATTCTGACCGTCGTGGAGCCTTATTCTGTGGGATTCTGTTCCCCAACGACTTCACTGAGCACTTGTTTATTGATATTTATCCTGGAGCTGGAGATCCCCTTTCTGTGCTGTTTTTTGACAAGTGTGGATGGTAAAGTTTTGATGATTTGTTAAAAAAAAAAAAAAAGAAAGAAAAGAGAGAGAGAATTAAGAAGCTTTCTAGTTCCTGCCCTTTTGCTTCACAATACTCTAATTGTCATGAGAAGTGGAACGATTCCCTTTGAAGACTCTCAGGGTTTGGGAGTTTTCAGAAAAGGAATTCTAAGTCAGCTTTCAAAATGCCTTCCATGCTTATTGCTTGGTTGAGGGTTTCTTCCTCTCCTGTGGTTAGTTCTGGCAGCATCCTCCTATCGATAGAATCGTCTGTTTCCAGTGTTAGACTTGATGTGTTTTTACTAAATCTCTTTCCTCCAGCTCGGGAATGCTCCTGATTCCAGGAATCAGCTACTCCCCTGGGCTCCGTTTAGACCTTCATTAACTCTTTTCAGTTTGCTTTTTGTCAGCTCACCTTTTAGTCTCTCAGTTCTCAAGCAAAGGATTTTCAGATTTTTCAAATTTTAAGTTCTTTCGCTAGTAAAACATCCACGCTTAGACATACTCCCTATTCCTCCAGGACTCCCTCTACATCCCGAGAGAGTATGTGGTGTTCTTTCTTTGTGGTCCAACATTGAGGTGAAACTTTCACCTACGAATCATTTTCTAAAAATCTTTTGATCATCACATGCACATTTGGATTTAAAATGTGCAACCACAGGGCACTGAGTAATGGTGCTTTTATATATAAGAGAGGAAATTATGGAAACTGTAGAATTACATAGTGGAAGCCTATTTGTTACCATGGTAATAAAGCAAAAGTGATGTGAGTTGTAAAAAGAAAAAAGTTGTAGGACAGTGGCAGGCTCTGATGTCACCTTTATAATAATGATTGTATGTCATCATTATACATATTATTTTGTTACACGTACGTGTGCGTGCGTGCATTGTGTGAAGTCTTCAAGGATGTGCCCTCAGTCCCTGGGGGGCCGGGGGGGAGGAGTCTAGAGGATTTATGTGTCTTTATGTCCCTTTATGTCTTTTAATGGCATTCTTTTCTATCACTCCGAAACCTCTATTCTACACCTTATCAAAAGCCGTGGACTTGATTCCAAATTCAGAGCCGGTCCCCTGGGTAAACCAGTTAGTACCTTGAAAAAACCCAGCAGGTTGATACATTCATAAAGATAAGAGGCTTAATTGGTTCTTTCTACAAGCAAATCAAGACCATTCTATCTGTCTGTGCCGTAGGGTCAGGGAAGGTCTTCAGAGGGAGTGAGTGCCCTTCAGGCATCTAGGAAGCAGTTAGTAGCGTCATAAATCAAATCTAGCTCCGATACAGAAAACCTGCATCTCCCAGAGGCCGTCGGGCCCTTGCATTTGGGGGTGTCATCCTGGCTGCCTCCCCCCACCCCCTCAAGGTCAACGCGTACCACGAAAAAGCACGATTTTCAATGCTGACTACATCTGGTCCCCTGGTCGGGGCTGCTGTCCAATAAGCCCTTTGAAATTCCCTTTATCAGGTCTCCGATTACAAACGATCACGTCTCCCCTGTGGAGTGTGCCCTTGTCAGAATAACATATATGGCTGGCCGTGGTTGGTTCCCTTCACCATGCATCTAAATCTGTCCAGTGAAGACAGGAGATCAGAAAGTCTGGTTCTTGGATGGATGCGCTCAGCGGCTGAGAGGCCTGATTCAGCACCTCAGGGACACACGTCCAGGGAGCCTTCTCTCTCACCTCTGCGTCCTGAGCTGCTCCGTTGTCGGGGACCAAGCATCCAAGTGCAATCATGCTGTCCCAGCAGCTTAAGACATGTGACACCCCCAGTTGACATTCCATCATGTCATAGGGACCCACCATCCATGACTCCAGGCTCCTTGGAGGTCAGCCTCTCGCCGGAGACGCTGGGTGACCCAGGGGAAGCCCAAGGTCATCACAGGGGTCCTCATAAGAGAGGTTAGGGGGCTGAGGGTCAGAGAGGGAGAAGTGATGGCAGAAGCAGAGGTCATGGCTTCCTGGCTTTGAAGGTGGAACAGAGGACCACGGGCCAGGGGATACAGTGGCCTCTCAGAGCTGAAAGAGGCAAGGAAACAGACTCTCCCCACGACACCTCCAGAAGGAATACAGCGCTGCCCACACCTGGATTTTCGCCCAGATTCACTGTGTGCTTCTGACCTCTTAGAATTTGAAGAAGATGATACCTTTGTGCTGTTTTGAGCCACCGATTTTGTGATAATTCACAAGAGCCCCCAGAGGAAATTCATACGCTCTCCTCTCTCCTTAGATCTCAAGTGTCCAGACCGTCATCTTGTGGCTTTTTAAGCTCATTGGCTTCAGATTCTGCCTTTCTGGGGCACGTTGATAAGACTCACCTCTCAGGTGGGTGCCTGCATCACCTACTTGTGCCGGGTGCTGCCCCGGACACCACAAGGGAATCCTTCTTGAAGCATCAGCCCTTCCCATCCTGATGATGCCTTTGACACACGTCTTAGAAACACCCAGATGGCACCCACGACATGCTGGATGTTGCACAGCACTTCGTAAACATTGGCGTATTTAATCTGTATTCCAAGACCATGGGGCGGGCATGAATACTGCCCCCCAGTTTACCGAGGGGAACATGGAGGGATTTTTTTTTAACATTAGAAACGATTCAGTTTTATGGATGAACATATATTAAAACTCACAGTTTATAGTATAGTCTAAATAAAGTCTTTCATAAATCCACTGTAGGGTCCTTGATCGAAGCAAAGATGGCAAGCATTCAAGAAACATCCTTCTCCTTCCGATACCGTGATCTGAGGATGGTGCACGTCACGTGCCAGGCATGATGGAGTGTGTTTCCTGGGTGCTGTGTGCTGGGAAATGTATATCGGATTCTGAATAGACAGCAAGATGCTCTAAGCAGTGCTCCCTCTGGGATAAATAACATCTCCCATTTTCTATACACCTTAGGAAAAAAAAAAAAAGATCACATCACCTCAGATGGGATTCCCCTAGGAGGCATGGAGCAGGGAGTTAGGGTATGATGTCCTTCAGACTCGTGACATCTCTCTGCACAGAGCTGTGAAGACAGTTAATAGGGCATCGGGAGGTATGTCCCAACATCGTACCAGGCAGTGGGTACTCCTGCTTCCTCAGCAGTCTTCATGAGTGCTGAAAGGAGGAGGACGGTGTCAATGATCTGCCCTTGTAGTGCACGCAGGACACAAAAGGTGCAGCCCTTGGAGGGGGTTGAAGGCTGGGCTAAGGTCCAAGGAGCCTGAACCAGGCTGGGACCGTCAGTGATGCAGAAATAGCTCAAGATGAGGGTGGCCATACTGTCATTTCTCCCTTGTCTGCTGGGTCCCTCATCAGAACCCCAGATCCCCACAAATGGTGTGAGCTACCCCCATCTCCATTCTCCCCAGGACAA